ATTCCTGCTCTATTGGAACAGAGCGAGGGATAGCTTAAGCTGCCTCTGTATTAGGAGTGGGAGTTGAAGAATGCAGCCCACATCATATTCTAGGCTGTTTGGACTTTCAGTTAGAATAATATAATTTAAAATTGAGTTCGGAAATGTATTGCTGGTATACGTTCTCTTTTAAGATGGAGTGGAAAAGTGGCAGCTGTGAAAATATAGCTATGTGGGTAAAACACTACTCAGAGAAATACTACAAAAAGGTAGCTGGTTAAATCAAAATGCCCACTGAAATCTCTCTGGGATAGCAAGGAGAAGGAGTAAGAGGCAGGTTATGAGACCAATTTATTTTTCTCTTTTACTATGTCAGATTTTTCTCATTTTCCACAGATTTTCGTTCTTCCAGAGATGCTTAGAACAGGAAAAAGTCTTAAAGAAGGGATATTGGCTGGATGTGAGTCTCTCACTAACAATATTATTATGTTAGTCAGGTTGGACATTAGTATTATTAAACCTTCATTGTTTACTCTTGTCCCCTGTTGCTGTTCCTCCAGAAGAAAGACATTGGAACAGTAGTGCAGGATTAGGTTACAGTAGCCAGAATATCTTTTCCTGTTTAAGGAACATACCCAACTGATTTTGATGCTGCTCGCCTTCTTCATCATGTTTTCATAAAACAATTTTTATCTTCAATTTTCACTTCAGTGTTTTGGATAGAGAGCCTTGACAATCTTCCTACTTTCTCTTTTTTACCTTCTCTTCCTATCTCTCTCTCTCTCTGTCTCACACAGAGAGAGAGAGTCACTCACTTACTCTTGTAGAATGTTCTGTAGCAGAGCATTTCACATTTTTGCAGTAAAGCAAAAAAATAAGTTTTTAAATCCATATATTTTATGTACTTTGTACTTGTCTCTGAGTTTTCAATCTTTTTGGTTAATAATTTTTTTCTCTGCAACTTATAAGGCCTGAAATCTTTTGTTTTTTCTTTAATAATACTCTGTAAAAATCTCATGCAACCAGGAGGTCAGGCTTCCAAAAAACAGAAAGTACTGTGAGGGTAATCATAGCATTAGAAGAGTTGGCTAAGTTGCTTTTAGTTTAAACCTGCTCATATAGGATCAGCTCCACTTCTATGTTTCTAAAGTCTAGCACTGTACAAATTGTTCAGAAACCACAGCCAGTAGTGCTAAGGACTTTTCTGCACAGAGGAAGCCATTAGTATAGGAAGATTTGTCAAATCCAGGATGCATCACTGTAGAATCCTCATTCTTGCCATAAGCACAGAATCACAGAAT